AGGCCAATGAGGCTGCATATGCAAATAACCTCTGTGTTCTGACTGGCTATGGGGGGGGAGGATTAGCAAAATGTTTAGAATGTTGGAGGCAGGACTCAGGCAAAGCAGCCAGTGGATAGGGAGACCCTCTGAATGACAGATCAGAGAGTGAACTGATTTTGGAGCGTGTGGAATGTTCTAGAGAAGTGCCACCACCATTCGGCTTTTATTTATAAGGGAGATACCTTATTACCCTAACACAATAGGAAGAGGAATATATGCAGTATATGGGCTAATTTGTAAATGTCATGATAAATTAATTTAGGGACTTTTAGTGAAATAATGTCCTGATGTTTTATTCTCTCCATTTGTAGCCATGAACCATCAGAGAACATGAAATTGCAGGTCCAAAGTTTACATGAGATTGGAGGAAATATAGGTATGTGTTTGTTCAAGTTTAATAATAACTGTCTTACTTCCCAATTCTTAAGATCTGAATTAGCCCATAATGTTAATTTAGCATGTGAATATGGTAATATCAAAGAAATCAGTATTTTCAACTTTCCTCTTATATACCTTTCAGGACAACACTGTTTGGACCCAGATGCTTTTATGTTAGATGTTTACCATGCAAATCCTCAAGCAGAGTGGGTGATTAAACCAAAAATAAGTTGAAACTTGCAAAGACAATTTGGCAAAGCACTTTGGAAAATGCCAAAAGGATGGAAGAAAAACGTTGCCATGAATAAAACCAAAGAAGTCTCTGCCTTCCAAACACGTCATAGACCTTGAGAGCTGTTACTTCAGTTAATTGTTTGTTGTAATTTATTTTGCAATGAGTACACTTTAACACTGGTTTTACTTGTGCCAGTTTTCAACCAATGTGAAGGAACACAGACATGTTTCTCTGTTGTACCACTTTAAAAAACCAAACAAACTGCAGTGGCATTCTACATGACTAAGGACATAGCCATCAGTAGCAAGATACTGCAAAGGAAACACTAGGTGCAAAGTGTGGGGGAGGGAGCATGTATGAACAATGGAGAGTGCCAAAACTCTATGACTACTCGTTCCTGTTCAAAGGAAATGTTTTTATTGTCAAATGTTAATTATTCAGTACTTGTGTTTCATTGTATATTACTGGCTGCCAATGAGACGGAAAAACTTCCGCAAAAGGTATTTTTACTGTTAATGTACTGTGCATGTATATATACGCAGCTAAATATGAGCATTTTAGTGACGTTTCTTTAATGATATTACATTGCAACAATTAACACAAGTTAATTTGTAACACATACATTTCAGACTGTGTACCACTGTAATTTAATTGTTCCAGTGTGAGAGGACTGAAAGACAGATGTTAGGATTAGCCTGATGAATGCCTGAATTTGTCATTAAATTGGCCATTTTTTACTTAATAGCCATACTTGAAATAATTTGCTACTTATAAAATATGCTTTTTTAATAGATGCGAACCATCCTTTTTGTTCGAAGCATTATTTTCCTTATTATTTATTTTAATTTTGATCTAACAGTATTGAAAATGGTCTCATCTTGAAAGATATGTAAGAATGGGGGAAATCTTGAATTTTTGTCTCCATCACAGATATAAGGGAGAATGTGTTCAGGAACAGGTGTTATAGATTGTGGGCACAAACACTTTTAATCCCATTGGTTAAAATGAGGAAGTTCAGCATGTACTTAAATCTCTCCAATCAAAATGAGTAGGATTTAAAAATGCTTAATATTGGCTGGCTCGTGGCCTTTATTACAGTGAACTATAGGAAAATGAAAACTGAAGGTGGCATGTATTGTGAGTACTGGGAGACATTACCTGAATGCTGTAGTAGGCAAGGCTAGTTTTACTGCGTGAACTTATATTTTCATACCTATTAAACTTCTTGTCTCTGTAGACACTGTAATTTTAAAAAAATCCTTATAAGTGCAAAGCATATTTAGAAATATTGGAAACATTTACTGCATGATTGATTTGTTGTGGCTTGTTTTATGCTTCACTCTATGAAGCTATAGAAAGAAGGGGGGGAAGCTTGGGGCCAGTAGGCGCTCAAATATGTCACTAACAGTTATCACAGGCACCCCAACTTTGCCTGGATTTCACATATCACAGGAAGGGAATCTTGTGTTTTGGCTGAATTCAATATAATACACCAGTGTAATATCTTTAGACTGTCAGTGAAATGTTTAAAGTGCTAGTGGCATATAAAGCAGAAATGGCACATTTTCCACTCCAAAAGAAAAGAATTGTCTTAATATACATTCGTTGTTCAAAACATACCATCAAATACAAAGGAAAGTACTGGAACATTCTTTTTTATATTTCTAATGTCTTAATATTAAAAACTACCTCACTGTAGTTCCTTTTAAAAAGCTTTGGGCACTGATCCAGAGCATTTGGCTGTCCACTGGTCAGATAATCAGCCTAGTCTGCAGCATTTAATTGCAGAAATGGCTACAGTCTTCAACCCTACTGCTGATGATAGGTGCAAACAGTGTGGCTTTTTGCTTGGCTGCTGCAGGTGCAAGTCCCAATCCATGTCTGGAAGCGCACGTGCAGCCCTGAATCCTGTATGTGGGATACAGTCATGGGGCTCTCATACTTTGCAGAGTTCTTGCAGGCATGGTATCTGAACCATCTTCTTTGTTTTGACTTTACTTCCAGGATCAAAATGTATTTTCATTACAGCTTTCTCCAATTTTTACTTTCTTATTGGGACTAGGGACAAAATGTCACAAAGAGAGAAGGACAAATCGCAACAAAGTGGTTTTTACTTTCTTATTGGGACTAGGGACAAAAGTGAGAAGGACAAATCACAACAAAGTAAATTTGTTGCCTCCACCCATACATTCTGCTTGACTACAGGTTTTTCATTGCGATCGTACCTGTTTTGTTACCTCCAACCTCTTTTTTCCTTAATCCTACAAATGATATCAGTAATTCTCTTACAAAAGATAGTTGTTGTGAAAGATTAGCTGTTGTTTTCAGATTTATCCAGATGTTGCAATGCTTTATTGTCTAAACCTCATTGTCATCATTTTTCCTTCTGTGCATGACCAAATATTTCCCTTCAGTGCTGCTGTTTCCTTAACTACCCGCAAAAACTCTAGAATGCAATCAAATTAATCCATCCAATGGGGGTAGGAGCTGGAAATCATCTCCTCCCACCCTGGGAATAATTATTTCTCAGTACAGGAGTTAGGTAAAAAATTTCTCTTCAACTGGATCAAAAGATAGCACAGCTGGGGCGGGCGGGTATCACTGTACAGCTACGTTGTATTGGACTGTGCAGACTCACTCACTGGATCATTGGGCTTAAAATGTAGGGGAATTGGTACATTGGGGTGTGTGTGTGTGTGAACAACCAGGTGGCAATTCACTCCTCTTAAGTTATTAAGGCTAACTTCCCTTCTCTGCATGAAGGATCCAACACAGGTAGAGAGATGGGGTGGGGAAAGGTACACTATCAAGTCATGTTTCTCTGTGTAATATCTGCAAAAGATGTATATCTATATTCCGGCTCACAGATAAAACTGCTTCACTGTGTGTATCCATTTAGCCCAAATTTCTCTTTACCTTTTAGCCCTCACCTGAAAAGGGAAGCTGGTCCTTTCTTCCCTCCAGAGTAACTTGCAGTTCATACAGCTGAACTGTTTCCATGCATTTGTATGCAGAGCGGCTCTTCGGTTAATTTTGAAAGGCGAGAGCGAGAGAGCAGTTGCCCTCCTCATCCAACATGGCCCTATAGAAACCCCTCCCATTGTGTTCCTCACTTCCCCCAGAATTCCAGGGAGTAATAGTTGCACACCTGTTGGGAGTTTGTAACATCTCTTTTTCATGAGCAGTTGACCTTGAATTAATGCCTGCATATATTGTACTAGGCAGAAAAAGACCCTCAGTGGTTATCTTTCTGTGTATATTGAATACAGCTGGAAGTGAATTCCTTTTAAAAACATTTTTGTCAAAACAATTTTTCTGTATTATACCACTAGCACCAACACTTTGTGGCAGTGAAATCTTTTTGTATTTCCATTGACTGTGTGTCATGAATGCTGTGATTACTGAAAGTAAATTGAGAGGATTTAGGAAGCAGGTGGTTTATGTAGCTAATCCAGGACAAAAACTTAAACCCTTATCTACTATACCCCATCCATCTTCTGTTCATATTTTCAGGGCTATTTTGGGGAGCATTCCAGAGCCTAGAAGCTTCTTCAGAAAAGCTTGAAAGCTCTTCTCTGCAGCTGGCCTGCCATCATGCAATCCTATATGTGCCTGCACAGAAGACCACTCAATGAACAGCAGTTACAAGTAAGTGCAACCCTTTTTTCTGCTTGTGTTGGGTCACAACAGCACAGTCCATTCAGTAAACCTGGTGAAATGAACATATAAGCATAGTAACACACAATATTTTTCTCACTTCCAAAAATCTTACACTCCCAATTTCTTGTTAGGTTTCAGAACACAGATTTAAACTTAAGTACTCAGTATTACGAACATACATTAGCTTGTACTGAAATAATCTGTTTAAAAACACAGATTCCTGAAAAAGTGTGATATAAAGGAACAATATATAAATTGTACTTTTATATCACACTTTTTCAGGAATCTGTGTTTTTAAACAGATTATTTCAGTACAAGCTAATGTATGTTCGTAATACTGAGTACTTAAGTTTAAATCTGTGTTCTGAAACCTAACAAGAAATTGGGAGTGTAAGATTTTTGGAAGTGAGAAAAATATTGTGTGTTACTATGCTTATACGTTCATTTCACCAGGTTTACTGGATGGACTGTGCTGTTGTGACCCAACACAAGCAGAAAAAAGGGTTGCACTTACTTGTAACTGCTGTTCATTGAGTGGTCTTCTGTGCAGGCACATATAGGATTGCATGATGGCAGGCCAGCTGCAGAGAAGAGCTTTCAAGCTTTTCTGAAGAAGCTTCTAGGCTCTGGAATGCTCCCCCTCCCCTCTATCCCTTTTCCCGCCCAATGGGTCACGTGACAGAGGCGGGGCTAGCAGACCTTCCCTCAGTTTGCTTCACCACCATGAGGAGGCCCCTGAATAGTGGCAGCCTACAGTGGGGGAAAGAGGGAGGGATGTGTGCCTGCATGGAAGACCACTTGATGAACAGCGGTTACAGTTAAGTGCAACCCTGTTTTCATGTTTGTGGCTTCTGTGAAGTCCCAATAGGAGAACAGCAAGCTCATCTGCCCTAGGAGGAGGGCGTGGGCTGATCAACGGACAATTGCTTGTAACACTGCTTTCCTCACTGCTGCTTCGCTTCTGGAGCCCATGTGCATTGATTAATGCTTGATGAATATCGACGGAGTGGACCATGTCGCTGTCTTGCAGATGTCCTCAAGGGCAAGTCTGGCTTGAAAGGCTGATGAAGATGCCTGGGCCCATGTTGAACGAGCTTTCAGGGATACAGGGCAGGAGACGTTAGCTTCATTGTATGCTATTGTTATTGCAGAGATTACCCAGCAGGAGATTGACTGCCCTGATACAGCTCTCCCCCTTTGTTGTTCCTTAAAAGCATATGAGTAAGTTTCTATCTCTTATGAAATTCTGTGTCCTTTTTAAATAAACAAGGTGTGCCCTCCTCATGTCTAGTGTATGTAGTGTTCTTTCTGAGTCTGATGTTGGTGATGGAAAGAATACTGGGAAAGTG